CTCCACTTGAGACTGAGTTATATTGGTTTCGGGGAATTCCATCCCTCATCAGTAACCCTGGAAACAGACAAATCGAAGGCATGAGACTAAGCCTCATATATATATTGGTGGAGTGTACAGGATAGGTGTAGTTTGTGGTTAAAAATTGTAGTTAAAAATTTAACTGAAAAAAAAAAAATCATGTAATTTTGTAATGGTTAATTTAAGTAACACTGGTCTTAAATTTTACAATTGCGTTGAGCATTTATTTTTTTTATTTTTTTTTTGGTTTATCTTCCCAATACGGGGCTGGACATGACTAGGTGGTTAGCGTGCCTGAACCGTTAATCCTGGGATTTCTGGTTCGCGACCCTTTGACACGCAAAAACGCGTTCTGTACGTTGAGATCGTGCTGTTCAATATAGATGCTTTCCTTCCAGCCGTCCTCTAGTGGCACAACGGTATTTCTGCGGATTTATAACGTTAGAAACCGGGTTTCGATATCCGTGCTGGGTAGAGCACGGATAGCCCATTGTGTAGCTTTGTGCTTAATTACAAACAAACAAAAACAATTTATCTCGGTGTTTAGACACTAGAGGGCGAAACTTACTAAGACTAAGAAAAGAGAATAAAAAAATCACCTAACACTAAAATAGTGCTAAATGGCATGACGTGTCAGATAACTCACTCGAGTATTTATTAGTGTCTTCTGCCTGCTTCCAAAGAGCGGATTCACCCGAAATATAGTCTGTCAGTTCTAAATTAGGGACGACTATGCCCAGAGAGCCCGACTAATATTAAGCACGTCAGGATAAGGAATAATCGAAATATAAATCTTGATTATGGATATTTTTCATATTAATTGGAGAGAGGATGTTACAAAATATTCGTAAATATCTATAGAACGTCAGAGACTAGAAGAAATCTACACAATTAACAATAAAGTTTACAATATTAATCAATGAGAGAATACACGATGTTTACCGAATACTATACATTTTCACATTCAGTACCTCGTCTTTTGTCATTAAGGTCGTCTGTGCTAAACTAACGTTTTCCCACGAATGATTTTAAGGTGAAAATAATGTGGTCAATTATAATAAAAGGTCACAACTTGCTAGTTTTTCCAAAGACGAAAAACGGTGAAAAAAAACAAAACAAACAGTAATCCAAAATGAGCTTGAATCAGGCTTCAATCTTCCTTTATGAAACTACAAACATGGACTTAATTGTTATTTATACTAAATGTATTGAATTTCTTAGTATTAACTACACTTCGGATTATCGTAATTGATATTTCCGCTAAGATTAGGTACCAAAATTGTAAAAAGATATCTAACTAAATAAAAGAACGACCCCTTATCGATAATATATTTTTATACGAGTCATATTTTTGTTTAAATTGACAAGTTATTCGTCACTTGTTTTAACTACATAAAGGAACGACCCCTTATTGATAATATATTTTTATTAAAATCATATTTTCGTTAGAGGTGACATGTTATTTGTCACTTGTTTTAAATAAATAAATTAATGACCCCTTATTGATAATTCCATATTTTCTTTGAAGTGAAACGTATTACTAATCACTTGTTTTGTATCACAGTTCGAGGAACTATTTTTTCTTCATCCTCTCGACAGATCTACGGTATTTTATATATATAGAGAGAGATTCGATTCACCTGTCAACTTTTCTATTTAATTTCCCAAATATTTGTTATAATATATTTATATATATCTACGTTCTGACAATACTGAGCATGAAAATCCGCCATTTTTGTCTTTAACTACAAACTGATTAAAACCTTTTTTTATCTTGTATAAAAAAGTAACTTACGTAATAGTATATGGGTGAATCTAAATATACTGTCTTATTCTCATGTTTATCAATACTTCTAGAAAATTAATATTATTATTTGCAGACTTAGATATATTAGAAACATTTCTATATCAAACGTATGGAAAAAAAAACACGAAACTTCCATTATTTTAATAATCAAGTTGGAGTTTATACTATTTTATTGTCAGTGGTTTAAACTGGATTGTCACAAACTTCGAAATTAAAGACATCAATTAACCTAGTGAAATAGTGAAACATATTTTAAGTCGCATCGTGATTGCCACTCGTATCTGTTAACCTACTTCCAGAGTTGAAATTTGTATAGAAATATAATGAAGTTAATGGAACGTGTACTTATTTTATCAAGATAAAATTACGAAAAGATAAAATCATTAATCACGAGTTTGACGTACAATGTACACTTCTTGTCATGTGATCATTAATATTAGGTATCATTAGTCTTACCAACGTTTCTTCTTTTACTTAGGTCGATCGCTTCATCTTGAGGTTCGCGGAATAACGAGTGGATTTTGTTAGAATGTTGCTTGAACATTACGCTTTTGTTTCGGTTTTTAGTACCATCCGTAGCTTTTATTGGTCGGTTGTTGTCTACACTTGGTGATCGTAAATTTCCATTTGTTACCATGGTCTCTTTCAGAGGTGTTACTTTTCCGCTAGGTTAAAAATTGAATTAGATATTAGAGGAAATTAGAGGAAAAAAACATATCGTCTAAAACTATGCAGAGGTTTTGATAAATTCTTCAAGTGAAGCAAAACGTTCGTTCATTAGAAACTAAATAATCACACATAGAAAAGGTTTCAATCGTAGCGTTAATGAACTTTTATGACATTATAGACACTTTCCTAATGCTGTAGCTAGGACTATAAAGAACTCAGAAGACGAAACTTTACTGAAACATAAGGCTTAACAATGTACACAGTTTTCAACGTTCGTAATGTTGACTGGAGGATAACAGACATTGTAAATTTTATTTACAATATACATTTTAGTTAGGCCTAAATCATAATACACGACTTTTTTATTTTAAATTTTAAAAGTGACTACTTTTATTTTCTAAATAAATTAGGAAATATTACGTTTAGAACTATAAAATGTTCTAATTAATTCTTGACTTCAAGTTAACAAATATCTTTATAATTTTGTTGGTTAAAACCTGGCATTTTGACTTCCAGAGCTTGCCATTATTAACTGCTATTACTAGGGGGCAAACTCGCCAATAACAACTACTTTTGTTCTTTTATTGTTTTGTTTTTTTGTTGTTGTTGTTTGCTAAAAATCTCAAAAAATCCTGATACACAGTTTTCCCAGCAAACAACAGTATAAAAACAGTGAGATCATTAAAGAAACTGATAAATATTATTATTGTAAAGAATTTACAAACAACAACATAAAAACAGTGAGATCATTAAAGAAACTGATAAATATTATTATTGTAAATAATTTACAAACAACAATATAAAACAGTTAGATCATTAAAAAAACTGATAAATATTGTTATTGTAAAGAATTTACAGACAACAATATAAAACAGTTAGATCATTAAATAAACTGATAAATATTATTATTGTAAAGAATTTACAAACAACAATATAAAAACAGTTAGATCATTAAAGAAACTGATAAATATTGTTATTGTAAAGAATTTACAAACAACAATATAAAAACAGTTAGATCATTAAAGAAATTGATAAATATTGTTATTGTAAAGAATTTACAAACAACAATATAAAAACAGTTAGATCATTAAAGAAACTGATAAATATTATTATTGTAAAGAATTGAACTGATAAAATTTGTTTCAGGAACTTATGTTAACATAATGTGTACAAAGCCTACTCCAGTGGCTCAGCGTTTAGTCAGTTGGCTTATAACAATAAAAATCGGGTTTCGATATCTCTTGTGGGCAGAGCACAAATAGCTTATTGTGCAGTTTTGTACTTGACAAGGAAGAAAACAAAAAAAGGTTAACATAAGGTGCATAAAATGTAGCTAAATTGCATTCAATATTTTCTAATTTACCAAGAATGCTCATTAAAAATTATATTTGCTTTCAGCGCCCTTTGACAGATAATAAACATTTAAAACGTTATCTAATAATACTTCAAGTATTGAAATATAGTTTCAAAGGTTTTGTGATTGTCAGGAGGATGTATAGATGAAAAATTTGTTTTCAAAAGAATCTAAATAAATATAATAGTACTGCCTGTTGTCTGTCGATGTAACTACTTCGCAGGATGTGGATGGATCTTCACCAAAATTGGTATGGAGGTTCATACTGAGGTACATACAACTTTTCAATTTTGCGGTTTTAGTGGGCATTTTTACTACTACTTTCGCCCCCTGTTGATGGTTCTTTACCAAATCTGGCAAGAAGGTTTATTGGGTCCATGCGGAGATACATGCAAATTTTCAGTTTCACATTTTCTGTTTTGAAGTTTTTAATGGACGTTTTTTTTTACGATTACATATAGGGGAAGCAACTTTTCATCTCCAAAGATAACCTTTAATTAATCATAAATTTACATAACTTCCGTCCAGGGGACGGGTACTCCATCTAGTTATTGATATAAGTGTTAAGTAATAATAAAGTAAGTTTGTTTTCTACTAGGCCTTTACTATCATATTTTGAACTTCTAACTAATATAGTAGAAAGCAACTTTAAATTCTAAATGTTTGTTTTTTTATTTCAGAATAGGACTTTTAGGCCAAAAGATTAGTTTAATATTTGGGTTTAACTTTTTCTGGCCTTGTTGGACTGGGTAGTAAGGTTTCTCTTACCTTAGTTTTCAGAGATTGTATCAGCTATCCAGGTTGTAATTGATTGTTGACAATTTCCAAAGGCTTATACAGGGGGCCAACGTTTAGGAATCTGTTTGAGAGGACTTTCGAAAAAAAGTAAAATTGTAGCACACGGTAAATTATTACTGTGAGCGCCGAAGACTGTTGCATTCTAGGGGTGGGGGAGGGTCTAGAGGCATGTTTCCCGATATAGTTGTTTATTCCATAAAGCAAAATGTCGCTATCTGGTGCTTTTCCTTGGTCGATGTGATGCTGAATTTGACCTAAATCCAGCTGGGAGATCAACCACAATTCTTTATAAAAACCTGCTAATTTGACCAACAAGTGAGGTTTGTTTTGTTGTTTCACTAATGAGTGTGAGCGTGAGAATATATATGCCCAGGCACGCGAGTCTCACGCTCAATGCACGAGTGTTGGTAGCTCTGCTTCTGTATGACTGACTGAACAAGAAAAATGCAAGAACTTAGGCCTAACACGAATTAAGCCTACTTTGTGTTTTCCTATGCGATGCCACATTTCATGGCTCCTCCTTAACCAGTGTTATCGCCAGTTGTTCCCGTAAATGTGTGTAACGGAGAAAGAACAAGATAACTGCTTTGGTGACACATTAGTGATATAGAAAAAAAAAAGTAACAACTTGAAATTTGTATGAATTAATTAATAATAATAAGCAGTGGTTTTATTTATGTCGTTGTTAAGCGCAAATCTACACAATGGGCTATCTATGCCGAGTCCACCACGGGTATCTAAAACCCGGATTTTAGCCTTATAAGCTGAGCTACTGGGGGGGGGGGGGGTGTAAAAAGGTAATGGAGTCTTAGTGTTATAGTTTCTTAAGCATAACATAGGCGAAAGAATAAATTTTTTCTTCTTTTAAGTTTAACATGTTGATTACAGATTTAAACCGTGGTAGTAAAATGTATCTATAATGGTGGCAGCACTAGCGTTCAGAAAACCAATCCCGTCTAAAGACCCAGGTTTTTCTATTTGTTCTCTGAAGGTCTAACTCACTCACTAACTACAAAAGTACAGTCAATCTAGGTTAAAGATTTGTATAGGAACAAACGAGTTACCATAGTTGACATATAATTTTGCCATCACATATTTCCTGCAGTTACTTTACGACATCGGTGTGAGAGTGAAGACTGAAAGTAGCTTTCGATGATTGGGGTAAATATTCTCCTAACAGTTAAACATATAAAAAGCATCCATCAGTTACATGCTAAGTTGTCGTAGTAACCTTTTTTTTTTTAAGAATTTGTAAATCACAAACAGAACTTCACCTGATATTTGAACGAAGCATTTAATCCTTTTTTTTTTCTTCAACCAATTAGATTGTATGAAATTAGTAGGTACATTAATGATAAAAGTTTATCTTTTGCTTTCAAAAACACTGTATTATAGAAACTTTGGCAGTAGTTTGGTTCACCTGTATTAATTTCTTTGGGGAGCTACTTCGTTATTGCTTGAAATGTATATTCAAAATACCAGATTTCAGCATTAATTTATAATGATAACAGGTAACAAAGCTACACAATGGGCTATCTATACTCTGCCCACCACGAGTATGAAACCAGGTTTTTAGGCCTATTTATCCTGTCACGGTTAGAACTCATTCAGTTGCAAGAGGCTTTGAATGGCATTCCAAGTTCTAGAGCACAATTTCCACACAGACCACTGAACAATTTACCAGGTGCCAAAAACTAATAAATGGTGTATGTACTTCAGTAAGGCCCCGGCATGGCCAGGTGGTTAGGGCGCTCGACTCGTAATCTGAGGGTCGCGGGTTCGAATCCCCGTCTCACCAAACATGCTCGTCCTTTTAGCCGTGGGGGCGTTATAATGTGGCGATCAACCCCACTATACGTTGATAAAATAGTAGCCCAAGAGTCGACGGTGGGTGGTGATGACTAGCTGCCTTCCCTCTAGTCTTACACTGCTAAATTAGGGACGGCTAGCGCAGATAGCCCTCGTGTAGCTTTGCGCAAAATTCAAAACAAACAGATAGCTTTAGAGGTCTACAAGTTATTCGCAACAAAAAAATTACTTTTTTTATATGAATAACTCATTATATAAGCCTACCTTCCACTAAGTAGCTTTTCGTTAGTAAATACGCTATCCTCTGAAGAAATACGAGAAACTTCATTTACCAAGTTGTGGTCCTTTGGCTTCTTCGTGAGATTATTTATCCTCAAGTCATTGCTAAGACTACATCTCTTCAAGAGCTCGTGACAATTAGAGTCGTTTATTCTGAGAACATTTCCACTGTTTTCTGGACAAAATGTTTCACCGAAAAAGAAAAGTGGTCTAATTTTTCGATCATTTCGAACGCCTTCCCTTTGAGTTTTGAGTTGATGTTTTTTGTTCTTTGCTTCAGAATCTAAAAGATTGGTGTCGGTTTCACGCTGAAAAGTGCTTAGTGGAACATCGTGTTTTGTCCTAACACTTCTTATAATTATGTCTTTGTTCTCTGTGCTTCTGGTGTCATGTTTACCACCTACGGGAAGAACCGTACCCCTTTGTCTCGGACTAATATATTGCAACTCAAGGCCAGGATGGGCAGAAACTCGCGATTCTTCACATATGATGAGCTCGTTAGGGTCCTCATCACTTGAAATGTCAAAGGATCGTTTATTTTCGAAAGTTGAGACGTTTCTTTCATAAATGAGTTTAGGACTAAGAAGTTTGTTGTATGTTACAGGCTCGACTTTCAAATTAGAAGAATGACCAGAGCTGCTTTCTGCGTTCAACTCACTTCTGTTCTTAAATTTCGATTGATGTTCCAAGTCACGATTATCCACCAACCGTCTTTGCCCGTCGTTTACGGATAATTTCAATCGTTTTGAAGCAGTTGGGATGTGTTTATACGTTTTCGCATTGGAGTTGGTTGACACGTTACATCTGTGGTTTGTTCCTCTATTATTCGATCTGCCCTGTTTTTGGTTTTCACAGTTCTCACGAAAAGAATGGCGATTTTCAGTGTCTTTGTTCTTATAAGTAAATTCAAACTTAATGTTACGAATAGCATCATTCTCCAAGTCATCAAAACCACAAGTTCGTTTTGTACAAGGATTTGATGCAGCCACACGAACTACCGTATCGATCATATCTCTTATTAGTACCTTGATGATGTCGCTATCAGTGGGATATAAAGGTGAGTTTATATCATATGATTCAAGCACTTCCTGGTTCGAACCGCGACTTCTTTCCAATGTTCTCCACAAGAGAAGGTTATCATCCGCGGAAGGAACAGAGATACCATTAGACGAAGCCAATGATAAGTTTTTGTTATTTCTACTTTGTTGTACCTTCAGTGACTCAAAATTCTTGAACGTTTCACAAGACAAGGGAAGATATTCTGTTTTGACGATCTGTTTGTGTTCTATTTCACCAGGACACAAAGGACTTTGGTCCATTTCTAAATAACGGTTGTGTTTATTTTCAAACATGTAGCCTTAATGTTTCTTTCGACCATTTGTGCGAACGATGTTTATTGGTGTACTTTTAGCTATTGACAGTTTTAAGTGAAACAGTGTCTTATTTTGAGGTCTTAAATATTAATTGTTGAATTATGTAATCACTACGCGTGTATTTTCACTTCCACCGGTCTCGGTAAAATCGTTTTGTTCAATGTTGACTCTCCATACACGTTAGCGACAAAGAAACACGGTATCCAGTTGCTCGCCTCTTGTACAGTTGTATCTTCTAGAAACGTGTAACTACCAGCCTGCTACTGTAGAGGTTCGTTGATTTCCTGTTACGTAATACGTGCGTACCTCTGCTGACTTTAATCTGTACTACTGCCTGTTATTGGCGTCGGCGTTGTTCGTTTGATGAGCTGTGATACGTTTCGGAATTTTCAACACAAATCTGTATCGGTTATCCTTCACGACGTGGCATGACTGTTACGGTAACAAGAAACAGTTAAAAGTAATTGTTGTTACAGAAAAACACTATTATTTTCTAGAAAGTGTGACGTCATCTTGGTTACACAATTACAGAGCCCTTGTTAGTAACATTTTGAAATAGAGTTTGATGTTGAAACTCGTGGTAAACAATCTGATCCAGTACTGACAAGACCACGCAATTACTATCAGACTGTTGCTACAGGTTACAACGAATTTTGTGTGAACGGCCCGACATTCCAAAATGTTACACATAACCGGTTAGAAAAGACTCCTATAGTGGCCATAAATAAAGACATGTCCAGCATATTCTAGTTTTAATTAAACAAGGCATAAAGATTAGATATCGGTTTTTTGTTATTTTTATTAATTTCATATAATAATTAAGAAATATGCTAAACATATTTAAATCACACATACATATGCTTTAACGTCTTAAATTAACGATACATTACGACTGGGTCGACTGAATAACTATTTTAATCTAACAAACGTTATTAATGAATGAATAATTATGTAGAAATGAAACGTCTATAGATACGTGTGTTTCAGTAAGCACTTATTTCTTCTACCTACTGTATTTTTCGGAATATAAGACGCACCGGTGTATAAGACGGACCCTTATTTTGAAGACAAAGTTTTGGGGGGAAAAAAAGCTACAGTCGCACTTGAAAGATTTTTATTGAACAAAAATTCAATTTGATACTTTAGAAATTAGTATATATTGTTCTAAACACAAAAGAAAAAAACTACTATTGTTATCAATAACACATTCAATTGAACTAAACTATGCATGCCTATTTAATTATATTTACACATGGCTTGTGTATATCGTATATATATACATATATAGTATTCATACCTTCGGTGTATAGGACGCAAGCAGATTTTGACATCAAATTTTAGGGTAAAAAAAAAAGGTGCGTCTTATACACCGAAAAATACGGTATGCGTTTATAATGTTCTTACCCTTCCGCATCATGTTCAGTATCAATGACGTAATTTTTGCCATCCAGGAAGAAAGTTGAAAAATGTTGGCGTTGCTTACTGCTGTCATCAGTACGTCTACTCTTACAGCTCTAACAGAAAAGTGCTTCTTGTTTCACATATCTGCTCTTCACACAAGCCAAAGTTCAGCAGACTCTGGAATACACGAAATGTTGTGCCATTTTAATTTCTTTCTTTAAGATAAGATAAAGAGTGTACTTTAGTCTTAATTGAACTTTTTGCTGGCCTCTGTATTATCCACGTTGGTAAGTTCACCTCACCCGCTGTTGAAACTTAACTTCACGCGCGTGGACCTGGGGAGTTGAAGGAGCCCATAAGTTTGGCGTCGTCATAGTGGCACGTGATAGATAGCTTTAGTTTTTCTTAACTGCAAGATTGCTTTTGTTGTTTTTTTATCTAGAATTTATCTATCTCTTTTAGATTTTCTGATATATATATATAAACAACGGTGTTCATTGATAAACGTGTAAAGTATTACCACCCACAAAAGTTACTAAGAGAAAAACAACAGAAAAAAAAGCAAGTAAACACATTATTGTCATTGTAACATAGTAGGGAAATGCATCAAAAAAGTCCTGAACGTAGATGGACTAATGAAATACTGGTTGTTTCGGAAGCTCTTCACAGTATTATGCTATGACTTATTATCAGAAATCACGTGGTGCTCCCTATAATTTTCATCTTAGCCCTGTTATCACTATACGAAAAAATAAACCACATTGATCTGTGACAGTTATAAAACTTAACATGTGTGTAAAATAGTGTTAAGACGTGTTCTATCATTGGGCAGGTACATTTGGATTTTTTGGTAAAAATAATGCGAAGTCCAGTCCACGTAATGAAAACGAATACATTTGTCAATAATATTTGATACAGGCCTAAGTTCACAAACAACATTTCAACAGCAACTCCGAAACTAATATACACATAATTCATGAATAATGCATGCATAGTTTCTCCGTTATTCGATAAATAACAAACACGCTGACTAATTAACTGAATCGCAATATTTCTCACCAACTGACCAAGTCACTAACTGACAATTAACCGAATCACTCATCACATTACTCATTAATTAAGTGAAGTTGAAATGTATATATTCAATTCTTATTTCTATGTACTACTCGAAATTTCTAGATTCTCAACTTTCATGAAATTTCTAGATCTGAATTAAAATATTTAAACTAGAGCTTGCAACACTGTCCCTTCCTGAATTGTGATGTCCTTTAATCAATCCTAATATACAAATAAAACAGTACATTAAAATTCCCCCTTCACCAAATGTTTATGGTATCTAGATGGAATGACCTCTTGTCTCTTGTTATCATGTGCTGTCTTATCACTGGGGGAGTTCTCTATAGGTAGGTGATTAAGTGAACCCTATGGTGACTCTATCCTTGGTGATCCACTGGTTTAAGTCTTTCCTGGGTAGGGTCATGCATGTTGTGAGTTGTGTTCCTTAATCTCTCTGGATATTCCGTGTAAGACTGTTGAATTGCTATTCTCCACATGTGGGTACAAAAGACCCAATGACACTTTAAGTTCACACTCAAACATCAATGATGATGGCGTGTTTCCTTTATGTACTACTGCTTGATGACTCATAAGTAGCAGTGAACGATCTTGAGTTTACTACTTCTGACGTTCATTCATATGAATATCTAACTGACTTAAAAGTGTACTACTATATCTCTCCACCATGCCATCAGAAGATAGATGAATGGCTGTTGTACTGGTATTTTTTATTCCAAGGGTCTAACACATTTCTGCTGATGTAAAGTTCTGTCCCTGATCTGAATGAAGTTTTATAGACACACTAAATCTTGAAACTAATTCATTGACGAGTTTTCTTGGAATTTTCCGTTTCCCGGTTAGAAATAACATGAACTTCTGGTCATGTGATCAAATAGTCCATTACAACCGTGGTGTATTTATTCCTAATGTTATTCTGTGTCAGCAATTTGACAACAACTTTCTTATGTGGAGGTCCAACACAGTACTGGTGTAGCTGCTATTGCTGTTTCTGTTTTGGACATTTTTGCTCATAGCATAGTTCAAATGCTTTTCACCAATTCTCCACGGGTCCCTAACAATCAACCCAATGTGATCATTCTCTTACTATATTCTTATTACTAAAGTGTTCAGATATTTGAAGGTTGTGGAGATGATAGGTGCTTCAGAATGTAGAGACTGTGGAAGTACCAACTGCAGATCTTGTTTCTGTCCAATATTTTCCAATTTCTGACATAATATGCCCTCTTGTAGGCATTAAAACCCTACTGTACTCAGTATGTCTTTGTCTTCAGGCTATATAAAGTTTGCCATAAGGGTTTAT